AAGCTATTACCTTATCTACCCATTACCAAAATCCTGGGACCGACATAGCTGTTTGTTAATAGTAATATGTATGCACTACAGTTTGTCTAGGGATACTTGCTCCCATTCTTTAGAAAATTTAAATGAATCCTCAATCAAGTTTGCATTTTGCAGAAGACAAAAAGGTGAAAAGCTACACCACAAGGTTAGTGATTCTTTTTGTTTTTAATCTGAATATAATTTAGCTCTGGGAGAACACAGTTGTGGGAAATAAAAATAACTCAACAGAGGGTGCAGAGATTTCCTTCCACATCTTTAGAGCTTATTGAGCAATTTCAGGCCTTCACTTGAACAACAGCCTTTAAATTTAATTGTTTCAGACAGCCTTCAATCCTGGCATTTCCAAATAAAAATGTTTTTAATCGACATGTTCAATCAGTGATATGCTGTATTTTTAAATTAAAGTACCCAATTTCACTTCAGCAAATATGCCAAACAAAAATCAAAAGTATTTGAAAAATTTTATTGGCTATGATTGGGGCAATAAATGGCAGAGACATTTTAAAACTTACTTTCTTTTATGAGGATCAGGGCTTGCTGGGAACCTCAACATCATCATGTTGAGCTACTACCAAACCAGAGAAATGTATTGCGCTCTCCAGGATCCAACATTGACTGAAGGGTTCTTATTCCCCAAACTTTCAGATAGAGCTTGGACCTGTTGCTTACTATGGTGCCTGACCACACAATACTTAGTTACACAAGTAAGACTTACATGAGTAGTCCTGTTGACGTCAGTGAGACTGCTCATGAGTAAAGTCTGGACATTGGTGTCTAGAGTTTCTCTTAGTGTTCCCTTGCTTGTTTCCAGAATTTGGGAACACCTGCACCTGATTGGTAGGAACAGACTAAATTATTTAATAGTAAAACTAAGGTTGTTTGTGATTATGCAGAATTTTATGCAATAAGAGATCATAGTCTTTCACTTTCACCTGCTTTCTACTGGGCCTCTTGCTCTTATGCTTCTCTTCATACTCTCTCCTAACTATTTCATTTATTGCCTTTCATGCCAGCCTTTTTGTTTGGAAAAAATATCCAGTCCCTGTGCATCAGCTGTCTTCCAACTCCTCCCTCAAATCCTTCTTTAAAACCAAACTGTCTCTTTTCCTGTTATAATGTTGTGTATATGTGCCTCCATTAAATGTTCATTATCTACTTCTTGAAATCAAAAACAGAGTAAGAAAAACGCCCTGCTTATCTCCTCCCCAACAATGTGTCCATTCTTTCTTGTACATGAATTGTTTTTTCTGTATAATACATTTGTCTGACTTAGGGCTGTATTGTGTGTTGATTTATACCCCATTCATGCGATGTAAATCAGTACAAAATTTAAATCTTAGTTTATAAATTCTTTTGGTCAAGGACTCTGTGTGTGTGTTTTAAAGCACCCTGTACTTTTACGCTGCTATATACCTAATAATTTTGTTAACTTTGTTTTTCTTCTACTAAGCTAGTATAGACTTAGGCCCCTAGCCTAAAAACACACTGCGTGTGCTGTACTTCACACACTGAGTTATCCCTGGGACTCCTCATGGAGCATAATGTTAAGCAAACGCATAAATCTTTGCAGAATTGAAGTATTAGTTTGTTGATGTTTTGCTGACGAGGCTTAACTTTTTTATTTCAAAAAGTTATTGGTTCATCTTTCTAAATTGTCAGTAGTCCCTGCCAAAAAAAAAGCCTGTTGAGAATCACTCTTTTTGTAAAGCCAGGTACATATTAAGAAATGGGTCCAATATGGCAGATCAGAAAACCCCTGAAGGAAAAGTGTTTGTATTGGGTAAATACAAGTGGCGAGTATTCAAATTCTTCAGAGGGAGAAAAACCATTTGGAGAATTATGGCCAGAGCTCTGCCCCACTTTGAGTCTTGAGAACTGTGGTCAAAGTCAAATTCAGATCTGTGGCACCCACTTAGAGCAGATCTGAATTTGGGACTATATATTACCAGGTATCAATTTTGACTTAAGAATTTTTAAATTATCACAAGGACTACTAATTTCATTTGCCATCATAGCGTGGCAATTGCTATGTCCACTTCATTGACTGTTTGGGATTGTGCACATCAGTGTGTGAAAATCAATTGACTTGTGAAATATTTAAGAAATGCCAGAAGTGAGCAGCAACACTGCTTAGGTAAAGCACTTCATTCTCTTATGTGCAGTGACCATTTTGAATGTTTTATGATATTGGGATACATCATCTATCTTTTCTTTTACTTTTTGACTTGAGTGCCGTGGAATATCATGACTACATCAGGGATCGGCATCCTTTGGCACACAGCCCTCCAGGGTAAGCCCCCGGGCAGGCCAGGCCAGGCCAGTTTGTTTACCTGCCTCATCCACAGGTTTGGCCAATCGCACGGTGGTTCACTCCTCCAGGCCAATGGGGGTTGCGGGAAGTGGTGTGGGCCGACTGATGTGCTGACCATCACTTCCTGCAATCCCCATTGGCTTGGAGTGGCGAACTGTGGCCAATGGGAGCTGCGATCAGACGAACCTGCAGACGTGGCAGGTAAACAAACTGGCCCACCAGGGGGCTTACCCTGCAGGACCAGGGGGCTTACCCTGGCTAGGCTAGATGCCAAAGGTTGCTGATTCCTGGACTACATTCAACTCTACATTTAATTTAACTCTGACTTCAGTGAAATTATACCTGCTTATGCCAAGCCAAAAAAGTGAACATATTAAGATAGTTTTGATGAATTTCCATATTTTCCTGGAAAATATGGAAATTTTACATTTTACATTTTACTCATATGCAATGGTACTGTACATAGAATCATAGAAACGTAGGACTGGAAGAGATCTCAGTAGGTCATCTAATCCAGTCCCCTGCACTTAAGGCAGGACTAAATAATAACCAGACCATTCCTGACAAGCATCTAACCTGTTCTTGAAAACCTCCAGTGATAGAAATTCAATAACCTTCCTCGGCAGTTTGTTCATGCTTAACTACCCTGACAGTTAGGAAGCTTTTCCTAATGTCCAACCTACACCTTCCTTGCTGCAATTTAAGCCATTTGCTTCTTGTCCTATCCTCAGAAGTTAATGAGAGCAATTTTTATCCTTCTGTTTGTAACAAACTTTTATGTACTTGAAAAATGTTATGTCCTGCCTCAGTTTTCTCTTCTCCAGACTAAACAAACTAATTTTTTTCAATCTTTCCTCATACGTCATGTTTTCTGGATATTTAATAACTTGTTGTTCTCCTCTGGACTTTGTCCATATCTTTCCTGAAACGTTGCACACAGAACTGGCCACAATACTCCAGGTGAGGCCACATCAGTGTGAAGTAGAGTGGAAGAATTACTTCTCGTGTCTTGCTTACAACACTCCTGCTGATATATTTCCAGAATGCTGTTTGCTTTTTTTGCAACAGTGTTACACTTTTGACTCATATTTAGCTTGTGATCCACTGCAACCCCCAGATCCCATTCTACAGTACTCCTTCTTAGGCAGTAATTTCCCATTTTGTATGTGTGCAACTGATTGTTCCTTCGTAAGTGGAGTACTTTGCATTTGTCCTTATTGAATTTCATCCTATTTACTTCAGACCATTTCTCTGGTTTGTCCAGATCATTTTGAATTTTAATCCTATCCTCCAAAGCACTTCCAACCCCTCCCAGCTTGGTATCATCCACAAAGTTTTTACATGTACTCTCTATGCCATAATCTAAATAATTTGAGGATATTGAACAGGACTGATCCCTGAGGGACACCAGTCAATATGCCCTTCCAGCTTGACTGTGAACCACTGATGATTACTTTCTGGGAATGGTTTTCCAACCAGTCACCCACCTTATAGTACCTCCATCTAGGCTATATTTCCCTTGTTTGTTTATGAGGTCATGTAAGACAGTTTCAAAAGCCTTACTAAAGTCAAGATATACCATATCTACCGCTTTCCCCCCATCCACAAGGCTTGTTACCCTGTCAAATAAAGCTATTAGGTTGGTTTGAGATTACTTGTTCTTGACAATCCATGTTGACTTTTACTTATCCCCTTATTATCTTCTAGGTGTTTGCAAATTGATTGCTTGATTATTTGCTCCATTACCGTTCTGGGTACTGAAGTTATATTTGTTCATGTGTTTGTTATAGACTAGGAAAGAGATCAGGTTGCCATACTTGCAGCAGATACTTAATCAAATAAAGTCAGTTGACATCTGCTACTGTCATTGTTCATCATTCGTGCTTTTTCCCCATATTCTCAAGCTAATATGAAAACAGACTATCACTTCTGTCATACTGAACAGAGGCATACTAAGCCTTACCAGCATAAGGAATAAGTCACCAATTTAAATTATGATGGATTTAGGGCCAGATCAGAAGCTAGTGTAACTGTGTTAATCAATGAAGCTATGCTGATTTACACCAGCTGAGGAACTGGCATTTAATTTTTTTAGAATAAGTTAAAATTTCTACACTTAAGTAAAGCATTATAGTTCACTACAAATAATGCTTTAGATCTGTGCTACAGGGGTATGAGGTAGCAGGTACAAATACTGTACTGAGGTGATTTTAAATTACTTTTAATGGAGGAGCAATATTTAGAGGCATTGCAGAATAAATAAGGTAACATTAATCTTTAACTATACCTTAGACATTTTCCAAACTTTACAGATTATAGTACTGTTTCTGCAAACAGACAGTCATATGAGTAAAGCAAAGCATGCATTTAACTGTTTACAGAGACAGGGCCTGAATTACAAAAAAGTTTAATTTAGAGAGAGACTTCATTTAGAGTGAAATATTGCAAGAGTTCAAAATAGGTTTTGTTTATGGTAGACAAATAAACCTCAAATGTTCATGCTTTAGAAATACAATGGCAAAGTCACCTGCAAATCAAAAGTGCCAGATTTTGTGTTTTCAGTCATTAAAAAAATCTACTTCATCAAAACATATCAAGTATAAATGTGCAGCATTACATGTAATTTTAAAGATAGAGCAAGCCAAAAATATCTAAAAAAAAATCTTGTTTATTTTCTTCTAGACTGGTAAAGAAAATGAATTTTGATTGATGCAAGCTAATCATCACAGCAAATTAAATACTGAAATATTGAATAACTTTAACAGTAATAAACAAATGCATATAGCCTGAAATATGCATTTAAATTTTACATTATTAGATTAAATTAGCATCCTGACAGTCTTGTTTGTTACACTAAGACTTTGAAACGCACAGGATTAGATTATATGCAAAGCAATCGAGAACAACTGATAACAAAAAAATTAGTGATACTTGTATACAAATGTTAAACAATCAGGCTCACTTCATAGAAATACCCTCTGTATTAACTGTATGGTCCAGTAGCAGAAATGAGCCAAATTTATCTGATTAGCAGTATTGCTACCTAATAAGATACCTATTGCATTTACAGGATAACTCACCTACCATTTCATTAGGTGGCATAACATGATTTAGCATGGGAGGATTATCTTCTCTCCCTGTAACTCATGTTGATGAGGTCTGAATATGATGGGATTAGAACTATCCAGCTTCTAGAATTGTATGAAAAAGAGCATTGCATTCCAACTCCCAGGCTGATATACTGTAGCCTATCTATGACAGCTGAACTCTTATGAAAGTAGTTACAAAAGCTGTTAAAATGTTTAGCACCCAAAAATCTTTTCTTGAAGCTTTAAACTGTTGTCACATAGCCACTTCCTGATAAAGACAACTACAGAATACTTCACCTGGTGGAAAGGTTGAATATTGTATTATTCATTAAACCTACTTGTCTCCAAATATTAAAATGCACATGTTTCATATTCTCCAGCTTTGCATACCTTCTCAAACTAGACTTAAAGGCATTAAATTAAACCCATATGGTTCTTCCTTATTCCAAACAGAACTGCTACATTCATTAAACTCTTTGCTATTTTAGAATGCAGTGAAATGAAATTCATTGTTTTTAGGACTCATTATCAGCTACAGCGATTTAGAATTTCCATGGAAGAGTTTGTAAGGCACCCAAAAAAGTTTTCCAAGCTCGCAAGTATGAACTAGATAATCACCTCCCAGAGCAGGTCTATACTACAGGGTTAAGTCGACCTAAGTTACGCAACTCCAGCTACAAGAATAACATAGCTGGAGTCGACATAGCTTAGGTCAACTTATTGCGGTGTCTACACCACGCTGGGTTCAAGGAAAAGTTTTCCCATCGACTTCACTGGCATGAGAAGCATAAGGTAAGTCCCGTCATCAATGGGAGAGAACTCTGTGGTCAATTTAGCTAGACCCACTAAACTGACCCCCGGTGGATCAATCACCACAGCGTCGATCCACGGTAAGTGTAGACATGCCCTCAGAGTGCACATACGCTCTTTGGGGTAAGTCCAAACTAATTAAGGTTAGTTTACTCAAATGTTTCACAATTTGTATCGTTCTGCACATGCTATTATATAAGATATGTGCTACTTGCATACTAGAAGATGCTTGTTGGAGCAGAACCCTGAGAAAATCAAGGAAAATGTATTTTTAAAAAAACCCACACATTGTTTAATAGTATCAGTTTGAGCAGTTTCAATACTTCCCTTTAAAAATTTAAACAAGTGAAGTCACAATTTTTCTAATGAGAACAATTTGAATTTATCAGAATTTTAAACATAAATAGAGTTTTGGATTATAAATGCATGTCATGTGTTGATTATTATATAATTTAAAAATGTATTTGAAAATTCTAACCCTCTAAGAGTAGCAATACTCAATACATCAAAATATTTGCAGGCTTCAAGTTCAAATAATTCCTGATACGGGGTGATGCTTTTCCAATAATTATTAGGGCAAGTTTTTACTTTATTATATTATAGGTGCTAGATGATCTAGTTTCAGCTTTTATCAGCCTTGTGTACAATTCTCATCATTCCCATGTATCCAGAAACAAATCTGGGCATACTTGAGAGGAGTAATTCGTACCGCTACATTATAATCCTGCTGCATACCATTTACATCCATCCACTGATGACCTGAATAAACAGCAATGATTTTGCGTTTCCATTTCTTCTTGTTTGGCTCTTTAAGGCGGAGATAGACTCCAGATCCAATAGACCCAGACTCAGCATCACAGTACTGGTAGAAGAGATCACTGGATTCATCAGACACGCTACAAAATCGATAGACTAACTGCCCAGATCGATCATCATCAAAACCTGAGAAGTGGATCATGCTACCAGGCATCTTTCTGATTGTTGGGCTGATTCCCAGCTCCATATATTTCTTTTTGTGAGGGCGCTTGAGCTCAAGAACAGCATAATCATAATCCAGGGAAACATCCCCAGTTACGCCTTCAAACCAGCCTTTTGGGATCTGGGTACTCTTTACTCTGGTCCACTGGAAGGAAGGTTTACTATCAGAGGTTTTCCGACTCCTCTCTGTTGCCTTTTGTTTTCTGCCACGACCTTTGGATCTCTGCTTCAATTCTGTGGTATGCTCACTGTGATCTCTTGCCACAGAAACATCTCTCTTACCCCTTTGAGCACCTCTGCGTTTCTTGCCCTCACCTTTAGATCGCATCTTCAGCAATCCTACCCTCAGCTTTTTGCTGCCCTTGATGTAATCCTTGCCATTATGAATACAGTGAGCAGCTGTTAGAACGTGCATGGGGGAAATAAGAATGCCACTGCAGCCTGTGGAAATCTTCACAGCTGTGCTAAAAGGGAAGTTGGTCATGAACCGCTTGTCAGAGATACTGAATCTGCTGTCTGTGCCATATATCTGTCTCTTTCTTCTTGGGGACGTTCTTGTGGTGGTGGTGTTGGCTGCGTCAACTGCTAGCCCTAGAACATTCACATGAGTCAGGGTCCGTGTGCCATTCTCAAAAACGGTCTCATAGGACAGAAACTCCTTCAGGTCAGACAAGCTTGGCACTGGGAGTCTCCTTTGGCATTCAATTCCACACACATTACTCAGCTCTAATTTGGCTTTTGCCTCAAATTTAGGGCTGTCAAGGGAGAAAGTCCGTTCACTCACAATCTGGGGTACGTTCTTCAAGTGCCAGGTGAAATCTTGTTCTGTTGCGGCTCCATCAGTCAGACATAATACGGGAATGGAAAGCATCAACAACAGCAATATATGTCCCATTGTGTTAATGTGTGTTGCTCTGAAAAAGGGAGAATAGAGACTCAAATTGGTATTTAAAAATTAAATTTATCGGATTATATTGTATGACTACAGCACTGTACAATATTTCCATCAAAATCAATGGGAGTAGAATATTAGCATCTGAGTTACAAAAGAAACAGGAACTCATTGAATCTTCATTCATTTCCCCACATTTTGATCTCTATAATTCTACTTATGTTATTCATTAAATAATAAATTACACCTAGATATAAATCATAACACTCGTATTTTAAGAAGCTAGCCCCATTTCCTTGATGTTCTACTTTAACAACATGGCATGGTACCGATCATAAATGCATTCGATACATTTCAAATCCATCAACGTCAGGCTTTATAGTGTAGTGCCTTGTCTAATTTTGTTCTTGTGTTTGTGGCTGAAAACAATCAAGACTGCAAAAATTCTGAAGATAATATGCAATAAATGCAGATCAATATGTGCAAAATGTTTTTTTAAAGGCTACATTAAAGTAAAATAGCTTGATTCAAATTAGTACTTTCTCCAAATCAAAATGTTCTTTATTGTATCATATCCAACAGTAGCAGCCTTAGGCCTAAGCAACCTATGCAGCCACATACCATGCATCCAACCAGAAAGACAGATGGCCATCCCTAGTTCTGTCTGTTTCTGGTAGCTGTGGACAGTGAGACACATTCACTCCTTAAATTGCCTGCTTGTGCTCTTGCTTTGAAGGATTTGCTTCTGCTCCATCCTCTGGCTTTCTAGTCTGTCTGAGGGACCCAAGAGCCACAGAGCTTCATACACAAAGGGTGAGTCACAAGATAGTAGAAGATGGCTAATCTGGGGGAAGGGTTTCAGGGATTCATAGAGTAAGGAGGACACAGTCATAGGTGGTGGACGAGCTAGATGGGCCTCCCAAGCTATTTCCCTTTTAGATCTCTCAGAAAACTTTTAATACATATTACAGTGGTGCCTGGAGGCCCTGGCTAAGATGCAAGACTCATTGTACCAGGTGCTGTATATACACAAGAGCTTACATTTTAAATAGACAAGAAACACAAATGAAGCATTATTCTTGTTTTTACAGATAGTCTTTCTGTGCCTTAGTTCCCCAAGTGACTTTCCCAAGGTCACACAGGAAGGCTATAGCATAGCCAGGAGTGGAACTAAGCTCCTCTGAATCCTAGCCCAGTACCTTAATTGCAAGTCCATTCTAACTCTGTAGATGGACTTGATGCCTAAAATATTAACCAGATATTGGCTGTTGCCATTTGGAGAATTGAGCTTATTCATGTACCCCTCTGTACAGTTGGTTAATATTGAAACCTAAAGCACTGCTTATAATTAAACCTTAAGTTAAGCAATTTAAGGACATGTATGGTTATGCTTTTTGGTTTACCGTAATTACAGTGGAAACCTGGATAAAATGTCTGTTTTATATTACATATAATATAGTTTAACAAATTATATATAGTTTAGCAAAATCTGAATCCTTTGTTTTGGTGAAAATTAAAGATAATATAAAAAGAATAGGGCTAGATATTACATCATCTTCCAATATCCTAAACTTGTGTGGTACACTAACTTTGATTCCTAACTAACTTACTTAGGGCAGGACTATACTACCGCAAGTTACAGCGACCTAAGCGCTGTCTACACCAGTGCTATGTCGGCAGGAAATGCTCTCCTACTGACATAGCTTCCGTCTCTCGTGAAGGTGGAGTAATTATGCCAATGGGGAAGAGCTCTTCCTTGGGCATAGAGCATCTTCACAAGATGCTCTATGGTGGCTCAGCTGCATTGGTGCAGACTTGCCCTTCGATTCATGCCCCCTTACCAATTTATTCTCCTTACAGATCTTCTAAATTTGGACCACTAAGTCTGAGGTAAAGGGAGTTAAAGTGGGCATGAAGGCAGGGGTGTGGCAATAAAGGCAACTAACATGAAGGTATAAGAAGATGAACTTTAAAGTAGGCCCGATTCTGTTTTAAAGCATACAAAAAACTTTAAAAGCCTGAAAGGATAAATATTACTGATATTAATGTGAAAAGAACTGTATTTTAATGTCCTAATACACCGGTTTAACAAGTAGAGATGTGCTAAGAAAGCCAGTTGTTTTGTAGAACTTGTGGAACCTGTCAATATGCAAGACACATGCTTTCTAGAATTCCCCTTCTCTTTGAGCCTAATGACTGGCTCACAATTCAGAGTCCACATACATGATCTTTTCCTGCAGCTAAGTGTCATAAATGTTTAGGAATGTTCACTAACGCTAGTTTCATGCAGAAAGACTTGGGCATACCACTTCTGAAGTCTTTCCAGTAAGATGGTTGATGTCCCAGCTGGAGCTATAACTAACTTTTCTCTATATCGAGGCTTCCTACAATAAAATGGGTGGGGTGATGTAGCTCCCTGCAATCATCTCTAACACAACCGCAAAGACTACATCACTCTTCCTGTCTGAAAGATTGAATAGAATGGTTATTCTCTGTAAGGGCAGACTTTAGAAGTCAAGAATTTTTACATTTATAATGAACCATTTTTTGTTTGCTATTAGTTGGAAATGAAGTACTTTGAGAGTTGGAAGAAGCCTATACCCAGAAACAAACCTCCTACAAACATAGGAATTGTCATATCAGAGCAAACTAGTTGTCCTAGATAATGGTTTCTTTTATTGCTACACATGTTTAAAATAAACAGAGATCTTAAACACTATGCTGCTTTAAGGTAGGGAGCAAGTGCTTCAGAGAAGGAGAAGAAACTGGGAACAAAACAAAAGGGATAGATAGGGGCGATTCAGACCCCTGTGAAAAACTTCAGCTTCTCCTTCCAGTTATCAAACCCCCCCAACACACTGATGAGGGTTCTTATCTTGATCTGCTGCATGTACAAGCCCCTCCAACTTTCCCCACTTCAAACTCCCAACATCCCAAACATTTCTCCATCCCCCATAGCAAACTCCCCCCAAAACTCTACGCTCTACTTCTACTCTGGTCCCTCTTCAACAACAAGCTCCAGTATAACATATCTCCCTCTTCCTACAATTAAAACACCCACAAGCAGATTTGTGGTTCTGCCCCAAATTTCCCATGAATTCATGCATAGTTGTAATTCACTTGCTAATATAGGATTGATGAGAAGAAAAATGAAGCTCAAGTTCCTGGTAGGGTTTTTCCCTCCAATGTCTATCTGTTTAGTACAAGCTGTGTCCTGGGGTTGTTGAACAGGTACTTATCGTCGGAGCGGATTGCACAAGGACTAGGGCTCTAGTATCTCAAAAACAGATTTAAGTAATGTTCAGACCTCAAAGTGAGGAGTTGTTACTTTAACCTGTTTAGAGGTACATCTTTTTCCACACAATTTTGCAAGGGGAAAAAAATTGGAATGAACCGTTCAGGAAGAAAACTCACTGTTTTGGGGCAACTATCTATCAACATCTAACCACAGATAGCATGTGCAAATCCCAAGATGAATCATGAAAATGTTTAGGGGTAACAGCACCCGCTCCTCCAGACTCCACAGAAGAAACCATTACTCTAGTAATGAGCTAAGACATAACAGTAAATCTCAGTCCTGAATTCTGTCTGCCACTTCATCCTAACTTGTGCTGATATGCTTGATGAGTGCATTAGTTTACATATCTGACCTTCCATTCTGGTTTAAGGAAAACAGAGATCTATTCTGAGATATTGTAAATTTAGGTATGTGTATAGTGCACAAGCATAGAAGCTAATTTTACAAGATATGTATTAAAGCACAAGGCAGGGTTCTGAAATCAAACTAAACTTACTTCAGCTGCAAAATGAATTAATGGAATTAAGGATAATGTCAGCCTTTCCTTATTGCTTAAATTTGTATCTGTGTGTGTGTGTGTGTGTGTGTATGTGTATATATATATATATATATATATGTATATATGTATATATATATATATATATCTCAATAAGGAAAAGCTGAAATTATCCTTAATTCTATCAATTCATTTTGGATGAAGTGGCAGATATATATATATCCATCCACTAGATGGCAGAATTAGATCAATTCTCTTTAAACGTATTCTTGCTAAATATTTTATCTTTCAATACAGTGTAATATGATGCATTATAAAACTGCTTTTATTAAGGATACTTACCCGTAATTTTCTAGACTGAATTTTAAATTAAATTTTAGTTTAGGCTGTAAACTCGTATGTAGGAATTTGTCGTTTTTCAGTCTTCTGTAAAGAGCCGTGCACATTGCACTAATAGTCTCTCATACACCTCTTTCAGGTGGAAAAGATACATTTACCAGATGAACTGCCTTGAGAAAATGACAATTGATAAGATTGCCTGAAGACACTGCTCTGGCAAGTGTTTTCACAACACCCCTCATTTCTGACCCGTACCATCGCTAATTCATTCAGGGTTAGTTTTCCCAGTACACAAAGGCACGGTTGTTTTGTGATAAGAACACTTATTCCACTAGAGAATGAAATGCTCTTAAATATCTTCCCCCAACCCCAAGTGTCCCTCTCACCGCCCCCAATGTTTCTCTCCAGAGACACACAAATGCATACAATTACTGGTGAACGGTGTGTGCTAAACTAAGCAATTTTCTACTTTAACAAACGTTATTTTTACTTTGTATAGCTCAAAGCTCAAGCCCAAAGCTTGCCACGCACTTTATGGACAGATACCATTTCTTTCCAGGCAGTACTACGCCCACTATTTTCTTCCCTTACTTTTCAAGGACGAGAGAAAGAAAGCATGGTTGTCAAGCAACTTTTGTTCGTTTTGGAGGATGGTTTGAACAGCTCCTAAAATTAACGCTCTGTCATTAACAAGCATCTTTCACTTCCCAGTGAAACGAAAGCTGTAGAGACCAAAAACGGTCCTTTTAAAATTGCTGTTAGCAGTCGCTTTCACTTCCAGTTAGTTTATTTTCTCCATCCCCTATCCCTAGGAATGAGCTGTTCTAGTTGCAGCAGTCTGTTAAATTCTTTATGATTGCAGTGCAACTAGCTTGCCTCTTTATTGATACTGATCAGCTTTGCCCGTTTACAAGATTGATGCCTAGTAACTATACAATTCTCTACACTAATACCCTCGTGTACAATTACTACATGCCCTCTGTAATACACTGAGCCCGCATATCAGTGTATTAGGCACAGACAGAAGAATTAGACATAGATGGATGAATTACTCCAGCATTATCAGGAACAGAAGCAGTGTTACCTCAAACATTTTTTCGAAATCACTTTTATGGACATATCTCTCTCAATAGATAGTTCCTTAAACGCGATTCTAGAGTTGCCTAAAAGAAAGAAAATAGCTTTTAGGCTTGTGTTTTAGAGAGAGAGAGAGATCGATCCCAGGTTTCTAAAACAAAATGATCAGTTTTCAAATTTAAATACCTGCTGCCTTTACTTTTTCCATTTCTCTTGCAGATGAACTCGTTTTATAAAAAGGACTCCAGAGGCTGAAAATTAAATAAAAAACTTAGCAGAGATTTTTGTAGCTCTTCACTGCCAGAAGCAATCTGGATAAAATTAGTGTCAATTTCAAAATATGGGAGGAATGGTAACAGAGAAACTGAGCAGATGAATCGAGAGGGGGTGGGGGAAGTTGCTGCAAAAACAGCCTCTCTCAATAGGCATTGCTGGGACTGTGCAGAGGCAAAAGTATGAAAACTTCCAAAATAAGCCTTTTCTTTCTTTCTGTTTTTAAGCTAAAGCCTCCTGAAAAGTACCAGGAAAAAAAGTGTAACCGTTCAATCTAGCCAAGAATATTTTCATCAAACTGGTCAGGCTATTCAGAAAAAGCTACTTCTAGTGTAAAATCCTGTAACTGGCCAAAATTTATTTCTTGACATCTTTCATCAACTGTATCTATTTGTAAACGCTGCTGTAACAGAGAGGACCACATCTGTGTTCCAGTAAACACGGTCACCTTAACAGAGGAGGGTGGGCGAGTGTGAGAACAGTGTATCTACCTTTTCCCGCTGAGGCTCCAAACAGCTAGTCCATAAACTCCAGCTCTCAGATCTTTAAAAAAAAAAAAAAAGGCCGTTCAGCATTTTTGTGGTACGAGTAAGAGGTCTCAGGTGCAGCCCGCATGCCAACGTGCCTGTTTGCTTTCAAAGCAGGCAGCCCCCTGAGAGTTTGTTCCTAGCTCAGAAGGCGCCACATAGGAACATCATTGGAAACACCGTTTCATACCTGTTAGCATTCGAGAGAAAGGTGAAAACCTGCCCAAATCCACGGCTCGTAAAACTTTCTACGTAGACATGCAATAGGTGTTCTACTAGGTCATAATCCGTATTTGCCAGCTGGTTCCCAATTTAGTGGGAGAGAGAGATCGTCACCGCCCGCCGGCCAGCACCAGAGAGAGCAGCAGCCACTGAGCACAGCCGGAGCCCTGGCGGCTACTGAAGAAGGGAATGGGGGGAGCGGCCAGGTTTTTCCCAGGCGGGGGAGGGAGGTCGGCCCGAGGGTGAGCTGCGGGGACCGCGCGCGGGTGATTCTGTGGATGGGAGGGGAAGGAAAGGGGCTGGCGGGATGAGCTGGAACAGCTGGCTGGACGGGAAGGCGGGAGAGGGCGGCAGAAGTGCAAGCTGTGGGGTAACTGCTCTGTGGGGAAGATAGAGAGCCGGCTGTGGGGGTGGCGGGGACATCGGGGGAATGCAGGGGAGAAGGGGAACGGACTGGGGGTGGCGGGGACAGCGGAGAGTGGAGGGAAGAAGGGGAAAAGACTGGGGTGGGGGGACAGCGCGGGGATGCAGGGGAGACGGGGAACGGGCTGGGGGTGTGGGGACAGCGCGGGGATGCAGGGGAGAAGGGGAACAGACTGGGAGTGGAGGGACAGCGCGGGGATGCAGGGGAGACGGGGAACGGGCTGGGGGTGTGGGGACAGCGCGGGGATGCAGGGGAGAAGGGGAACAGACTGGGAGTGGAGGGACAGCGCGGGGATGCAGGGGAGAAGGGGAACGGGCGGAGGGTGCAGGGGAGAAGGGGAACGGACTGGGGGTGGGGGACAGCGGGGGATGCAGGGGAGAAGGGGAACGGGCTGGGGGTGGGGGGACAGCGGGGGGTGCAGGGGAGAAGGGGAACGGACTGGGAGTGGAGGGACAGCGCGGGGATGCAGGGGAGAAGGGGAACGGGCGGAGGGTGCAGGGGAGAAGGGGAACGGACTGGGGGTGGCGGAGACAGCGGGGGGTGCAGGGGAGAAGGGGAACGGACTGGGAGTGGAGGGACAGCGCGGGGATGCAGGGGAGAAGGGGAACGGGCGGAGGGTGCAGGGGAGAAGGGGAACGGACTGGGGGTGGGGGACAGCGGGGGGATGCAGGGGAGAAGGGGAACGGACTGGGGGTGGGGGACAGCGGGGGATGCAGGGGAGAAGGGGAACGGACTGGGGGTGGGGGACAGCGGGGGGTGCAGGGGAGACGGGGAACGGACTGGGGGTGGGGGACAGCGCGGGGATGCAGGGGAGACGGGGAATTGACTGGGTTTTTTTCTCTGGGAGCGGGCTGCGGCTGGGAGGTCGATCTCCCCCCTCCTGCACGCTGGGGGACTGCGAGAGGGCGCCGCCCCCCCACCAGAGGTCAGAGCTGCGGCCGGAGAGCACCGCCCCGCGCCGGCTCCCCAGTCTCCTGCGCTGCAACTGGCGGAGGGACTGGCCGGTCCTCGCGCTGCCCCTGCCAGGGACTTTCCCGCGGCTCCTCGCGCCTCAGGGCCAGCAGGTCTCTCAGCTGGGAGCGGGGGCGTTTCCCGCCTTGGAAACGCAGGAGGCGCCGCTTGCTGATTCACCCAACGGCCTGCCCAGCACAGGTCAGCGCCCCCCTCGCCATCACTCCCCACGAGCCCCCTTGATCACCTCCCTCCCCAGCGCGCCCTCCTCACCATCACCTTCCCCCTGAGCCCCACCTCACCAGCTCCGCCGCACCACGCCCCCCTCGCCATCACTCCCCCCGCCATGTCCTCCTCCCCATCACCTCTCCCCCTACCCACCCCAAGCCTTCCCTGCACCCTCCACACCATCATCTCTCCAGTCTCACCTGTACCCCTCCCGCACCACCTCCCCCCAACCTGAAGCACATCTCTCTCTCTCCATGGTTTAACCAGGTCCTTGAGCAATCTTTGGTGTTTCATGAACTACCGACAAGATGACTGAGTTTCCCTCCCTTCCCATGAGGAATTTGCATATAATAAGGCCACCCTCCACCTCTCAAGGCCCTTTTTCTCCAACTACAGATTTCACCTTTGGTTTCACCCAGGCGTCCTCACGGGATCTCTGGTACCTGTTGTTGCAGACTTCACTGCCCATCTCTAAAGTACATCTAAAACTGAAGGAACTGCTAGAATCTGGCAAGGAGATGTACAAGCATCACACTGATCAGGGCTGCCAAGCCATCCCCAATCTTGTCATCAGGGACAAGGTTTGGCTGCCCATGCAGAATCTAAGGTCATAGAATCATAGAATATCAGGGTTGGAAGGGACCCCAGAAGGTCATCTAGTCCAACCCCCTGCTCAAAGCAGGACCAATTCCCAGTTGAATCATCCCAGCCAGGGCTTTGTCAAGCCTGACCTTAAAAACCTCTAAGGAAGGAGATTCTACCACCTCCCTAGGTAATTTTTCAGGTAGTGTTTCACCACCCTCTTAGTGAAAAAGTTTTTCCTAATATCCAATCTAAACCTCCCCCACTGCAACTTGAGACCATTACTCCTCGTTCTGTCATCTGCTACCATTGAGAACAGTCGAGAGCCATCCTCTTTGGAACCCCCTTTTAGGTAGTTGAAAGCAGCTATCAAATCCCCCCTCATTCTTCTCTTCTGCAGGCTAAACAATCCCAGCTCCCTCAGCCTCTCCTCATAACTCATGTGTTCCAGTCCCCTAATCATTTTTGTTGCCCTTCGCTGGACTCTCTCCAATTTATCCACATCCTTCTTGAAGTGTGGGGCCCAAAACTGGACACAGTACTCCAGATGAGGCCTCACCAATGTCGAATAGAGGGGAACGATCACGTCCCTTGATCTGCTCGCTATGCCCCTACTTATACATCCCAAAATGCCATTGGCCTTCTTGGCAACAAGGGCACACTGCTGACTCATATCCAGCTTCTCGTCCACTGTCACCCCTAGGTCCTTTTCCGCAGAACTGCTGCCTAGCCATTCGGTCCCTAGTCTGTAGCTGTGCATTGGGTTCTTCCGTCCTAAGTGCAGGACCCTGCACTTATCCTTATTGAACCTCATCAGATTTCTTTTGGCCCAATCCTCCAATTTGTCTAGGTCTTTCTGTATCCTATCCCTCCCCTCCAGCGTATCTACCACTCCTCCCAGTTTAGTATCATCCGCAAATTTGCTGAGAGTGCAATCCACACCATCCTCCAGATCATTTATGAAGATATTGAACAAAACCGGCCCCAGGACTGACCCTTGGGGTACTCCACTTGATACCGGCTGCCAACTAGATATGGAGCCATTGATCACTTACCCGTTGAGCCCTACAATCTAGCCAGCTTTCTACCCACCTTGTAGTGCATTCATCCAGCCCATACTTCCTTAACTTGCTGACAAGAAGACTGTGGGAGACCGTGTCAAAAGCTTTGCTAAAGTCAAGAAACAATACATCCACTGCTTTCCCTTCATCCACAGAACCAGTAATCTCATCATAAAAGGCGATTAGATTAGTCAGGCATGACCTTCCCTTGGTGAATCCATGCTGGCTGTTCCTGATCACTTTCCTCTCATGCAAGTGCTTCAGGATTGATTCTTTGAGGACCTGCTCCATGATTTTTCCAGGGACTGAAGTGAGGCTGACTGGCCTGTAGTTCCCAGGATCCTCCTTCTTCCCTTTTTTAAAGATTGGCACTACATTAGCCTTTTTCCAGTCATCCGGGACTTCCCCGGTTCACCACGAGTTTTCAAAGATAATGGCCAATGGCTCTGCAATCACAGCCGCCAGTTCAGCTTGCCCATTGGCTAAGTTAGACCACCAATACCTGAGCTCAGTTAGGATTCAGGAACCTATCAACCTGGTGGCATTCAAGTTGCAATTACTAAACTGATACTAAACTGGGAGGAGTGGTAGATACGCTGGAGGGGAGGGATAGGATACAGAAAGACCTAGACAAATTGGAGGATTGGGCCAAAAGAAATCTGATGAGGTTCAATAAGGATAAGTGCAGGGTCCTGCACTTAGGACGGAAGAACCCAATGCACAGCTACAGACTAGGGACCGAATGGCTAGGCAGCAGTTCTGCGGAAAAGGACCTAGGGGTGACAGTGGACGAGAAGCTGGATATGAGTCAGCAGTGTGCCCTTGTTGCCAAGAAGGCCAATGGCATTTTGGGATGTATAAGTAGGGGCATAGCGAGCAGATCGAGGGACGTGATCGTTCCCCTCTATTCGACATTGGTGAGGCCTCATCTGGAGTACTGTGTCCAGTTTTGGGCCCCACACTTCAAGAAGGATGTGGATAAATTGGAGAGAGTCCAGCGAAGGGCAACAAAAATGATTAGGGGACTGGAACACATGAGTTATGAGGAGAGGCTGAGGGAGCTGGGATTGTTTAGCCTGCAGAAGAGAAGAATGCGGGGGGATTTGATAGCTGCTTTCAACTACCTGAAAGGGGGTTCCAAAGAGGATGGCTCTCAACTGTTCTCAATGGTAGCAGATGACAGAACGAGGAGTAATGGTCTCAAGTTGCAGTGGGGGAGGTTTAGATTGGATATTAGGAAAAACTTTTTCACTAAGAGGGTGGTGAAACACTGGAATGCGTTACCTAGGGAGGTGGTAGAATCTCCTTCCTTAGAGGTTTTTAAGGTCAGGCTTGACAAAGCCCTGGCTGGGATGATTCAACTGGGAATTGGTCCTGCTTTGAGCAGGGGGTTGGACTAGATGACCTCCTGAGGTCCCTTCCAACCCTGATATTCTATGATTCTATGATTCTACCAAAATCCCTCAGTATCCACCCTGTGTTTCATGTTTCTGTCCTAAAGCCCTGCACATAGAACCTGCTGTTCCCATCCTGCTCAACTCTGCTGCCCTGGCTATCAACATCCAGGGACATGAAGAGTACTTGGTTAGACAGATTCTGCACTCACAACTCTTTAGAAAGAAGCTCCAGTACTTGGTAGATTGGGAAGTTTATGGCCCTGATGAATGATCCTGGGAACCACTGGACTCTATCCACGCCACAGATCTGCTGCAAGATTTTCACAAAACTTACCCCATGGAACCAGGTCCTGGGGCTCCTAGGAGGCTCAAAGTGGTGGTACAGTCTGGAACTAGGGCCTGCAACTGCAACTGCACCTGCTCAGTTGTCAGGCAGTCAGTGAGCACAGCTGGGCCACAGCACAACCACCTGATTGGCTAAGGCAGTCAGGTGGCTTGCTCTTAAGCCCAGCAGCTGTTAAATGCATATGCCTGGGGATTCTCTGTCCTGCTAGGCTTGCTTTGCTCCAAGCCCTGCTCATGATTACTCCTGCACTGTTTCTGCCTAAATGCTACCCTGTATCCACCCTTGTTCTAGTCATGTCCTAGCCTTTCTCCTGCCTTCAGGTAAGCCCTGGTTCCTGACCCTTAGCCCTGGTTCATGGCTCCAGCTGTGCCAACTCTGGGCTCTGGTGTTTGGACTCTGTGACATTGCACAGAGTACAGTC